TGTGTAAAAACGTCTGTGTGTAAAATGTCTGTGTGGAGACAAGCCTGTGTGTAAAAGAGCCTGTGTGTAAAAGCGTCTTTGTGTAAAGGTTTCTGTGTGTAAAAGCGTCTGTGTGTAAAATGTCTGTGTGGAGACAAGCCTGTGTGTAAAAGAGCCTGTGTGTAAAAGTGTCTTTGTGTAAAAGCGTCTGTGTTTAAAAGCGCAGTCTTTGCGTAAAAGCACAGTTGTGTGTAAGGCAAAGGCATGTTTGTATGTACGGGCATACTGCTACTTGTATGTAAAAAAGACCGTCTCAATTTTTCTTCCTGTGTCTCCTTCGATTCATCTTTCTTTTATTTATTCTTTGATTTCTTCATATGTACCTACTTTTCACAACATGTCTGCACCATATCTCTTCTTTCTAGGCATCATCGTATATTTCTATGTTTATGCTTCATGCTATAAGATCTTCGTACTTGCACCTCTCACTATGCTCCTCTACGCTCTCGGGCCATCCGTCGTCTAGTATTTCCATGCCGTTTGTGCTGGCAGCCTTGCAGAATGTCGCAGCCCAACGCATCTCGCCTCCTCCAAGTTCCTGCGAGACTCCCGAGACAATGGCCGAACCAAGGCCCCGCTGAGCAACCCATAGACTCTTCGCACGAAGGCGAGCGGTGGAGCCTGGCTTGGCAACGCAGCCCTTGGAGCCCTTGGCATTAATCCTTTGTAATCCTTTGTAATCCTTTCTTGATATGGATTTGATATGGTTGATACTGAGATAGGTCGATGTGGTCGCCTCCAACTTGGTTGGGTCTGATGGAAAATTCAACCAAGCCCTGCCTCGGAACGCTCCAGCATGGCCGCCAGAAAGGCAGTTGCCAGACCTTGCTGCCATGCCATTAATTGGATCTGCTATGATCTTCTTGACATCAAACGACACCATACAACGGACAAGTCCTTACAAGTAGCGACACGCGAGCAACAAACAAGTATGAAGCGGTACATAGCAGAACGATGCCTGACAAAAGCTCCAATCTTCGGGGTGCTTCTGCTCCAGATTCTTCAGCTGCCATTGCAGGAAGCAGCGCTTCGAGATGCGCTCGGGCAGCCTGATGCAGTGACAGCTTCGTCCCCAGTGCTAGCCGCTGTCTTCTGACCGTTCTGGGTTTTTCTCCTTGCAAACACAACTGTCACACCTGCGCTCTGGAATCACTTGCAGCAGACGCAGAGCTCATGGCTGGTGGTCTCCCAACCTGCCACAAGGTGAAATGACTTCCAGAAGCAGAAACCGCTGTGGCGAAGAAAATCTTTTGGAAGCTGGCCAAGCTGTACCACAAACACAATACGATCTGAGTGGATATGAAATAGGATGAGATGAAATAAGATCAAATGAAATCAACATGATGTGATGTGATGTTGTATGATATGATAATGCAGCATATAAATGTGAGAGCCTGTGCTATATAATTATGCAGTTTGTTGCTACAAGTATGTGCTGCTGTTTGTTGATGTCTGTTGCCGTTTGTCGCACCAAATGACATAGGGCAGCCGCAGCGAACACAGCGAGCGACTTGCCTCAGAAGGCCCGCAAAAGGAGTCCGACTCCAACACTGAAGCACCGAGCCATTGCCATACTGACTGTGAAAGTTGTGAAATACTGTGAAAATGCATTGACTTCTGGGATCACCGACAAGCTTGCTCTGTATAGAAGGCAAAACAGGCCTCTACACACTTGCACTGCAGATATGAAATCTATGAAATCTGACATGGTTTGTGACAAAAATTGTCAGCGATCCAGATTAGCGTCTGGGGATCTTGCATATTCATTTCGAGATCCAAGCCGCTTCAAATCCTCTGCAAATCTAGAGCGATCGCCTCGACTCAGTCTCATTGCTGCTGATCTTGCTGCTATCAATCATATCTAAGTTGCTGTGAAACCATGGGATGATTGAACACGTCCGTGTGTTTGAATGGTCTGCCCTTCCAAACAGGCAGGGTAGGATGTAATCTCAAAAGCCAGATGCCAAAGCGCAAACTCACAAACGACTCACGCGGACCCAAAATCTGCCTTCTGACTCTGTTGCGCTCAATTGGTAGCTCACTCCAGACAAGTGCAGCAGCACAAAAGGATCCTCGACACATTGGCAAGTCTCAAAAACAGAAGTACTTCGAGTGCGAAGCCTGAAGAGCCAGTCCTGCAACTCCAGACTTCGAGTTAGACCACCACCAGCTTTGTCCGGAGCCATGCACTGGCAAGTGGAGGCTCGAAGGTGCTCCTGGTCTGCTTTTAAATCTGAGATTGAAACTCGTCCAGTAGTGTAAGAATTGTAATGAGTAAGAGCAAAAAATGCTACATGCAAATCAAGTGGTCCTGCATCGCATCACGTCCAAACAGCAGTGAGCCCTAGCGAAGAAAGCGAGCTTGACTAAGTACAATTTTCTCAATTTGGTCCCTGCCTGTAGTGCTGCAGACCCAACCACTGCATCAATGACGTCGCAAGCGTCGGCCAGCCGTAGAGCAGTGCCGATCAAATACGGCGTGGCGGTGTGCCTCATTCCATATCCATCCATTTCAAAAATTCATGGGGAAAAAGGAAGCGTACAGTGTACTGCACGAGAATCCGGCGCTGACACACCAGTGTCTTTGGACGAGACCAGATCAGCAACCACCTCCTGATAGGAAGAAATCGTCTGTATCTAACAAGCTTGTAATTGTGCAACACAGCCTGCAAATGCTCCGAGACATTCATCTTCATGTCAAGGCACCTTGCAAGACAAAGGCATATTATATATATATATATACACATACATGTTTTATAAACATATTGTAGCTTTTCCATGGGCTCAGAGCAATTTGACAGGATGGAAAGTTGTTTCACAAACCGCACCCTGGGTATCCCACTGCTGCCCGACAATGTCAGTTATCTGCTGTCCCACTGGAGGCCGTCCAGCAGGCCACACCAATCGCATTTCCCAAGAGCATACCTGCAGATTGGGGACAGTTTACACTCAACTAAACTCCGGCAAAGGCTTCGGGTCTTCACTTCTGTCCTTCTATATCTCTATGTTGATTGAAATAAATATATCATATAATCATATATGCATGTATACGCAAAAAAAATGTGTATATATATATACACATTATATATATACACATTATATATATATGTATATACACATTATACATATATGTATATACACATTATATATATATACATTATATATATATACAATATACAGTATATATATACAATATATATATATATACACATATTACCATATATTATTAATATTATATATAATATATAATATTATATATATTAAATATATATATATTAAATATACTAATATGTATATATACATACATATTATATAGATATTATATATATATACACATGCGATCATATACGTGTGTGTGTGTACATATTCCTGTTCTGTCCCCTGCCTGCAGAATGAGCGCTGCCTCAGACAGCAGGATCCTGCGCAGCATGGAAGTCAATGAAGACCTCAAATCGTCAAAACCGCTCAACAGGCTATGAGTTCTCCAAGATAGCACCTATACAGTTGAAATTCCATGAATTCTCAGCTTTGATTTAGGTCGCCCTGCCACGGCACAGCCAGAAGGTTTTTCAACACCTGATCAAAGGTACCAGAAACGTACAGCATGTTCAAAAAACATACTGAGCCATCTGTTCTCCAGGCCTTGTACCGTGATGTCCATGCATGACATACGTAGCGCAAAATCACATCCCGCAGTGCAGGCATGGCCTGCCAATTTTGAAAATGCTGCTTAAAATACCGAAGACTGATTGCAGCGCAAGAAAACTTGAAGACAACAATGGATTTGACCCCAATGGCACCAGAAGGCTGAGCACGATGGACAGTGAAGCTTCGTATGCGCTATGGTTCTGCATCGCCTGTGCATTCTCAAGCCACTCTAGGAAGGCGAAAAGTGCCGCTCCAAACAAAACATGCGAAAGGCTTGTACATACTGTTTCGATGCAATCACAATCCGATGCTATGTCACAGCTACTTCAAAAATCTTTGAAATGCAACTTCCATACATTCTTCCACAGATGTCCACAAAGCAGCTGCTCTGTCAGCTCGCCTGTTGAACCTCTGGCTGTGTTGCATTGTGTGGCTGCAAAGCCTTGCTGCCAGAAGGCCTGGCAGATTGTGAAAGGAGGACCTGAAGTTCCTTCTGAGGAATGTGAATGCATGGAGTCCATGGAGTCCATGGAGCACTGCCAACAGAGAGAATGTGAGCTGTCCATAGCTGTCCTTGGACCTCCACTGTCAATCCAAGCTGGTAAGTTCGGTGGATTCTCTAACCTCGCAGCTCAAATACAGTGGCTTGTCCTTCCAAATCGCGTTTTTCTCTGTAACCATTTGCACTGTCCCTGCAATCTTCTTTCTGTTGAGGTATTGACAGCAACATTAGGGCGTCCAAAGGTGCCAGATTTCCGCTTCGTGTTGGATCCATATCAATCATTCCTTACAACTGAGGAAGCATTCCAAGACCAAGCACACTGAAGAAAATCAACTCTCAATCATTTCATGTCCCTGAATCATCTGCATCCTTGCAGCATGCAATACTGTGGCCCCTGCCTGTGACTGTCCTTGCCGTGGGATCCAATCCTGGAGATGTGATGTGTTCAGATTGGGAACAGGTTGGGATGGCGGGCGCGATTACAATCGAACAATCTAGAAGAAGCTGGTATAGCGATGTACGGCGATGTACTGCAATGTAAAGCAATGAAAAGTGCACCAGCCCTGTAACCAGTTCTGATACCGCGGTAAGGTCTGGACCTAGGAGAAGTTGCCCAAGCTGTTGAGCTGAGCTTTCGGAATCTGCCAAAATTGCGGGCATCGACCAGTCGTTCACCAGCCGTTCATGAGTCGTCCATCAGTCACCATTTAAACTTGCGTCCAAAAGCGACCAGCCTCCAAGTAGCAGCAGAAACAACCGAAGGGTCAACAACCGGCCGGATTCCTGAACTCAACGAACTTGACTGTCGAAAAATTGAAACATGTGTTTCAATGTGTATATATATAATACATATATCTATTATAAGAATCATCAACGGTGGCGAATGCCGAGTCGAGAACTTTCAAAAGCCTTTTTGTACAAATCAACAGTATACGTCGACCGTTTTGAAATTGTTTTCCCCAATTTACATTTTTATAGTTCATGTTCGTAGTATATTCTATCACGCAGCAGCTGCCATCGTGGATGTGCAAACTGCTTTCTCATCCCGGTTTTCCTTGGCTTCATGGTCTTCATCTTAGGACAGGACAGTGGTCAATGCAGCAAAAGGCAGCTGCACCATGTGCTCATCATTGAGGGTGGCCACAATCGCAGCAGCGCCAGCGGAGAGCCATGCAGCAGGAATGTCAAAGCCTTTTGCGAGTGAAATACACTACTCACAAGAGAGATATCTACAAAAGTGGAAGAAGCGACAGACATGAAGGATGGTTCGGATGGTGTTTTCAACTGATCCTCTCAAAGAAGCTAGTCAATCGTGCATGCAATTCAAATTGAGACTGCGCCTCGGAGGTAAGCAGCTCTGAAGGTTGCTGAATCAGATGAGGCGCAGCCACGCAATGCCGAAACTCCAGCGTCAGATCCTACCAAATTGAAAGCATTGAGACTTTTGCGCGTTCACGCAAAAGAAGACTGCGACGAGAAAATATACCTTTTCGATCCTTTCGATCTCCACTCTGGGACAGAGTAACTGGCTGTTTTCTCCCTTCCAAAATGAGTCAGGGCCCAAGTCCAGATGCCTTCAGCAGAGGATCCACGTGCCCAAACTGCAACATCAGCTGCCTGCGACAATGCCGATGCCCTTCAATGATGATATCACAATGATATCCAAAGTAAAAAGGTTTGCAAAGGAAACAAATAAATCCAATGCCTGAACCACTGAATCCTCAGCAAGCTGCTGTAGAAGGTCAACCTTAGCAGTTGTTTTACATCTCTCTCCATCAGACAGCACTGCCAAATGGCAGGTACTATCATGAAAAGACTTGAAAGAATCATTTTCTGAGATACTTGCTGATCGGCAGATTGGCAAACCCGTCTCAGAAGAAGCGACATCTAAATGGCAAAAGTCAGGAGAAGCGTCAATCTCCATAGCCTTGAGAGCATGCTGGCCGTGAACAAAAGAGTGCTCGGGAAACATGGGAAACTTAGAGCAGAAAGATTAAGAGTTGGGAGACTTGAGAAACAAAGGAATGCAGCTTGCATCTGAATCATCTGAGTCCGACAACGCTAAAACTGGAAACAGTCTTTCACTGACCGATCTCGCCCATGCATTGCCTTGCCTCGAGGGCAAAGGCAGCTTCGCTGTGCTTGTCCCAGTTGCGACCTTCATAGATCATGATAGGAAAAAGCAGAGAAAAACGGCTGAAAAGTTGATCATGATATTATCACAATATGATACGTAACTGATATGTCGCAGCTGTCATTGGCTGTCATGGTCGCTCCAAATTGTTTCCCACACGCCTTGTGACTTTGCTGCTGCAATTGCTTCTTCCGCCGCTTCTTCTCCATCAGGCCTTAAAATGGTTTGGAACACGAGTTCAAGCTGGTGGGACGGTGGGACGTTAAAGCAAATTGCACCAAACTCTGAAATCCTCAGCTGTTGCTATCTGCATCGATCTGTATCAATCATCTGGGGTCACGTCTGCACAATTTTGTCATGTATCGCAGTGCTGATTGCTTGCAGCCTCCATGGCCTCGCCACTGCACAGTCAGGACAGTGCTCACATGGCTCACATTTGTAACCGGAAGTCTCGGTTCCGTCGCCGCTTCTGAGGCACCTACTCCAGCTGCAACAGCCGCAACACCTTGCTTCAAAGCATATTCTTTGCTTCAATGAATCGTTCAGTTGCCACTGGAGTCCCATGTTGCCGCATGTTTATCATGTTTCACTGCTAGGGATGGCGCCCTCTTCGGCTCTCGGAAAGCACACTGCATGAACACATACAGAGCCAATCGACCAATGCCATTGTGCAAACCTCGAAACCGAAATCTTCCAACATCTCCCTACCACATCTACCACATCATACCCAAACAGCAAGGTCCGCGTGAGGTCCGAATAGGGTCAAGATGGCAGCTTGGAACCACGCGTGCACCCATAAATTCCAGGAGCAACGCGAGGTAGCTTGGATTGTGTCGCTGCCCTGTTTGAGCCTCAGCTTTGAAAAACTTAGTGAAAGCTTCTTGCAGTAGGTTCGTTGGTATGCTCATGCAAATCAAATACATTTCGCTCACTTACGGAGTTCAGGCAGTTAGACTGAAACTCGCCGACAAGGGGACGAAGGCTGTAGAGTTAGGTTCACCTGTGGGTAATTTCTTAAGCAACTTCCAGGGAGACCTAGGAGCGGTTCAACTGGAAGTTCCTGATTGTTGGAAGTATGTGTGGCACGTTGATTCCCAGAAGTCCTTCGCTGTCACTGTGGCAGGCATACGCTGTAGGCAGTGAGGACACTACTTTCTGACACGTTCGCACCGAGCGAACACTTAGATCCCTAACAGAGATGCCACATTTTGAGACAGCACAATCAACATGTGTGCCTAGAATGCTTGAAACTAGCATGATTCAATCAATCGATCGCAAACCTACCTAATCCTAGCCACAAGGGGCATGTTTGTGCAGACCATGTGCGCCGTGCATTCCAGATGTCGGTGCTGAGCATACTTGGACAAAGCATGCTGATGCCAGTCATAGCTTGCCTATTGCTACTCTACTGTTGCTTTCTATGTGTGGAGAGTTTGGCGGCACAAGACTAAACAAAAAAAAGTCTGGAGCAAGTACTGATGATCTGAGACAACAGCGTCGAAGACCTCTGTCTCCAAACGTGGTCTGGCAATGACAAAGGAGTTAGGTTGCGCAGCAGTTGTAGTCACATTTCCAATCTGGCCTTTGTGACCAAAATGGGTTGAAGCCAGCGTAGGAGTTGCCTCGACCTTTGGCTATCTGCAAGCAAACAAGCAAAAGTGTGTCCTTCCGCTTGATTTCTAGCCCGGGGCCGGGCCTGCCCCCAAGTCTGCAGGAGGATATGCAAACGCAAACTCTGCCAATAGCAATTTGTGCGTTGGCTGAATCGGGCCATCCTGACAATGATCTGAAGTCTGAAGATGTTATCCAAACTGAACGAGTCAGGCTTCCAGTTTCCTGAGCGAAGAAAGCCTGTGGGCCTATCCCATCCACACAAGGCAGAAGCGCAGTGGTGAAAACAAAAACAGAGCTCCCTCCTGAAGGCTCGCAGTGCCCCAACTGCTGGCACGCTCGGATGCATGCTGCGCGTGAAGCCGGGAGAAAACCACATCTCGCTGCAAAAGGATTCTCACCTCGGAAGATATTGGAAGCACTGATTTGTCTGCTCTCACTGCGTGATCCTGCGCTCAAAGGTTGTTTAACCTGCTCACTCAGCTTCAAGCCACATCCAAGCCATACGACACGCATTGCTCCATGTAAGGATAGGCTGCTCCTCCTTTCCTTCTGTTTGCTAGCCTTGGCATTTGACAAATGAGAGCCATCATAGCTGAGGATCTGCCGCAGGTCTGCAGAGTTCCATGGTATTTGATGCAAAGGCCTGGACCCATCCATGCTCCGCCCCTGAAGGAGTGTGAGATTCAGCCTTCAAGTTGCAGTTGACACAGCTTGAGCATTTGTGATGGAAACTAACTGCGAAAGTAAAGCAAAATCAGAGCCAGGTGGACACTCGTGCAAATATTGGAGAATCCAAGCTCAAGAGACACCTCAGTCAGAACATCACATGGAAGCTCGGGGGTTCAAGCAGTGATAAAGTGTTCATGCTGAAAGCCCAAGGAGACTGACCGAAATGCATAGGCTGTTGCATTTCCTGCAGCGCATCGCCTCAGAGCACTTGAAGGAGACCAGGTTTGCCAAGGGGAGAAGATCGCTGAGAAAATCTGAGAATGCCGACGCGGCCACTTCTGCTGCAGTGGCATCGCAATCACTGTATGGCCTGGCACAGCCCAACCAGAGCGACATGGAAGATAAGAAATAGTAAGAAATGAAATGAGAAGTGAATGAAAAGGTGAAAGAAAAATACAAGAAGCACAGGACGAGTTCCATGAGTTTCATGTTGACCTGCCTCACTATCAACATATTCAGTGCTGAAGACCCACTCATCGGCAAAGGCCCTCGCCTAGGCGCTGTAAAACATGTAACATATAGGCTGTCTTTCTGAGAAGAGCATCGATTGATCTTCAGAATTGATTCAACTGGTACAGTAAGGAAAGTCACCTCAGCGGTTCCTGAGGCTGATGCAGCACCAAACGCAACCACCGGAGAGAGAGTGCCTGAAAACAACATGAAATCCACAACAGAAAGAAGCGTTGCAGGGAGATCCTCCGCAACATGAACCAGGACAGCCATGACAAAGCATCACCGGATGCCAAGCGTTTGCATTGGCAGTTTTGAGAGTCAGGCAGCCAGTCTCCAGTACCGGGCACTGCTAAATGCAGATGGCTCGGACAGGGTCTGGAGGATCACCTGACAAAGGCGAAAGCTGTGAAGATCTCTTAGAAACATTCCCTCGCCAGGCTTACGCTACACTAAAGATTCCTTGTGACTGACATGCTCTTCACAGTTTCTATATGGAGCTTCGTATCCTACTTATGGTGTGTGCCAGGCTTGTCATCTTGCAGAAGATCTTCTCTTGCGTTGCTTTCTAAACCCACTCAAAGTTGAAAGGAACTGTGAAAATGAATGTTGAGTGACCAATGATTCACACATCCACAGGTGGGGAGTTGCTTCGACCCTTACACCAGATCTAGTGACAAACACTGGCAAACCGCAAACCCGTCATTTTCATTCATGTTCTTTCTTCCTTGTCTTACACTGGTTCTATTTGGCAACGATCGACAGCAGCAACAGGAGGAGGGCGCAAGAAGTATTTTGTCGGCCTGATGAATCACCACATGGGTGAAGGGCTGCAGGTCCAAGCCATATCGCCCTTTGTTGATAGGCACTGCCTGGTCTGGATGGAAAGAACAGGGAGATGTTCGGCTACCTTTGCAAAGTAGCTCGCTGTGAGTGCTTTTGCCTCTATCCCGCCTGCAAGAATCGAAGGGCGCAAGCCAGCAATTCAATTGCCACAGCACCATCCTGAGGCAAAATGCAGGTCTTGTAACTCGGAGTATTTCTTTTGAAAAAACACAGAGTTTAATTTAAATTGCACAGTGCACTAAGGTCAGAACACAAGATTTTGGCTGCTCCAGGAAGGGCACAAGGCTTGGCACTGCTGCCAGAATCGAGGATAGGATCATTCGACTTACCTTGGTGGCACGACGCCAGTTGGTTGAGTCTTCTTTGATCCTTTCTGGCTACTTCCTTCACATGTTGAAGAATCTTGGTGCCTAGCCTGTGGGGGAGGCAGGTCTAGATTTCCGAGCCTCGGAGCAAGACAGTGAGCGCACAATGAACCAGTTTCCACATTCCTGTGTCTGTGAGAAGCCGAGCATTTGACGCACCCAGACAGGCTGCTTTAATAGCGGGTTCGGGATGAGTCGAAAGCAGCTCAACCTTCCGTCTTGCACGGATTCTGTCAAAGTCAAAGACATCGAATGAGAGAGCCTAATTGATTTTTGCCTTTCTGCGTGTCCTGACTAGAGACAAACTCCAAGAGTCCAGAGGAATTTGCTGGGTTTCTGGCTAAAATGTTTGCAGTGTTTTCTGCACGCCCCCATGGGTCACCCATGGAAGACGCCATGCCTCTCAGCCCAGAGCATGTCATGCACATTTCTGTACATAGCAAAATATCAAATATCACATGTCACCACACGCTGTCACATGTTATGTAAGACATGTTATCGTATTGTCCAATTGCACGTTTCAGTCAGTTCCAGGAAGCACAGATCATCAGAAAAGAATCGTGAACCCAGCCTGAGTTGAGGCTCTGCGCAATGGGCTGCACTGTTGGCTGCACAACCTTGGCTCAAGGGTGCCACCAAGAAGGGCTGCTCCAACAGTGGCTGTGCCAAAGGGGTGTTGCTGCGGGATGCCATTGTGATAGCCACTACTTGAGGCCTAGGCGAGCAGTCGGCTGCCGCAGGCACCAGAAACCAAATGACCTGGCCAAAACGGTGCGAAATTTGAGGCATGGGCACTGCCAGAGACTCTTAGTTTACTTGTTCTTTACTAAATCATGCCACAGCTGCAAAGTGCAACAGTCACAGCATCTGCTGAGATCGAAGTTCCGCCACCATGCTGTGCAGGAGTTCTTGCCTCCGTTAGCTGAGTGGGGCACTGGGAAACTGAACTGCGGCTGCAATTTCCACATATATCTGCCAACTATACGCCACACGGTTTGAGCACCAAGTGCTCTCGTTCAAGCCTGCTGCATCAGGGTGTCCAAGAGGAAACTCCAGTTGAACCACTGGTTGCTATGCGACCTGGTCTGCACTGCCAAAATGCTGAGAATGTAGTGAAAACGCTTCTGAAGTCTTGCAAACTGAGGTTCAGACAAAAGCCTTTGGCAAACAAGGCTTGCATTTTGCAAGGACCTGGCCAAGAGCGACAACCAACAAATCGACGAAACCACCAACCCTGGTTAAATTCACCAGATACACAGTGCGAGCCACAGCCACACAAAAACGATATTTGGGATCCGTTCTCTCTGGAAGCAAAATTCTTGTCAGGATATGTGTCGAAGTGGCAATTGCGAACATGACCATTCGCACTGAGTAGTCAGTCTAGCAACCACTTGATCTGCGAACCCACGACAGGAACATTTGCAGTAAAAATCATGATTGGAAAACGGATCAACAAGTAGAAACATAAAATTTGGGAAGCGGTCCCTGCAAGCGTAGACTTCGAGGCTCCTACCCTCGACTGCAAATGGTAGCGATGAGATCCAAAATCTCCGCATAAAGCATCGTGTTGTCCTTGAAGGTTGGCAAAGTAATCACACATGCGTCCTGTACTTATACTATCTGACGCACGATCATGTATTGAAACCTCAAGCAAACAAGACTTTTCTCAATCGAACTGGGCTGCAGCACATGGCGTGCACCAGTCATTGTTCCAGCCACGCCCACCTTCAACATTAAATCCAAGCAGGTGCTGTGCAAGTGCTTTTTATACTCAGCATTGCTGATATTAATGGATACTGTGTCTGGCCTGCTGCATTCCTCCGCTTCCAAAAAAAAATCAAAGAGGTAAGGCTAAAAAAGACCAAATAATGCCAAT